CCCCAAAACCCCAAAACCCCGTATCCTGAAATAAATTTACAGATATGATTAAATGATATGAATGATTTTTGTATTTAAAGTTTAGTTAATCAATTAAGAATCTAATTGTTATACTGGTAAGGAAGGTATAGTGATACAGATCACTGAGTGAATAAATACCCACTTTAGGTCTAAGTGTTCTCAGACATGGCTTGGGGCTTTTACCCTGTAAACTCTTTGGTTATCATCACCGTGATAGTTTGCTCCAAGATGAGAGAAAGGCTTATCATTTTGAGTGGATTGATTGTTGTTACCGCCACCATTTTGATTAGATTTCTTCCTGTAAGCACCATTACCATTGCCGTTTGAGTAGTGATTGTTGCTATCGTGATGATGGTTATTCCCATTGTTGTTGCCCCAATTCTTATGCTGTGGATTGGTGTTAGTGTAGCTAATGCTGTTGTTATTCATGCGAGATCGCTTATCAACTTGATCAGCTTTCATGAATTTGAAGCCTTCAGCATTTTTCATGGTTGATTGATCCTAGTTAAAACATAATTAATCTTTTATCTTTTGCTTTTAGCACTTACCTTGATGGATTTCTAGTGCTCTTTGTAGTAAAGAGTGACACTGTCTGGATCAAGACCGAGGAATTGTCTGAGCTTGTTAGAGACATTTGTTCTAACTTTCTCATTCCTGCCATCCTTTATCCAGATCTCAATGAGTCTTTCTTTTGTTCTCAGCGAGAGACCAAGTCCAATTACTTTTGGCTCCTCAAATTGTTCACCTATATTTAGCAAATTAACTTAGAGGGTAATCATACTGATCAAAGCCAGAAGGAGAGTTTCCCACATCTTATCAATATTATCCTCCTTTTTAATCTTGGTAATCCAGATTCCTCCATTTGGCGACTCCTAGTAGAATTTTAAACGGACGGGCTATACTTACCTCCCACATGGGAATTTCATTTTCTCTAAAGAAGAAGAGATCAATCTCTCTTGGCATCTCTGAGGGCTTTTTCATGTACACAAAGTACTAGAAGAATTGTTCAACCGTTGAGATCTATCCCATGTCCTTCAGCTTTTCTCTGTAGTCCTAGAATTTATTTTATTTGGGTACTGGTTAAGTCTACTCAGGAGAGCTAAGTGTCTGATTATTAGCATCTTTGTTTTGGCTGAAGAATCTCTAAAAGTACCAGAATTTCCAGTTGGTTTGGAGAGTATGGCCCTTGGAAGGAGTGAATTGAGCATCAGTATGGTTAGATGGCTTAAAACTTTGTGAATTGGTGGAGAGTTTTGAGCTTTGAGTCTATCCTTGAGTGTCAGCTATGGTGTTTTAGGTCAGTGAGTGGTCAAGTGAGTTTTAGTCAAGTTGGTTTTGGGCAGCGGAAGATGACATTAAATCTATTAGAATTAAAATATCAATATTTTATTTCTCTGCGCTACTTATCATATCTTTAAATCAGTGCTACGGGGTTTTGGGGTTTTGGGGAGATCGGAAGAGCGTCGTG